TCCTCCTGGGCCCAAGGCTGCTACCAGATGGGTGTCTGTCTGTCCACCTCCTGGCTCTCTCTTTCTCTCTGGAGTGTGCGCTTGTGGAGCCAGTGTCTTATTGTCTTGCTTCAGCTTCCTTTCTCTCCCGGGGCTGGGGCACACTGCCAGATCACAGCAACCAGCTGTGCTAGGGGCTCTGTCCAAGGGACCCCAGTGTCCAAGGCTGCTCGCCACCCCCAGGCCGTCAAACATGCCTGGCCCGTGTGTCTGTGCGCTTCTCTCAGAGCGAGAGAATGGGAGCGGTCCAGGATCCGTGCCATGTGGTGCAGGACCTCAGCGTCCTGCAGGCCCAGTGCTGGTGAGGCACGTGTCCTGTGCATGAGGCTCGGCCTCTGTGAGCTGGCTCCTGACCATGCAAGTGAGGGCAAGGCAAAAAAATTTCCGCACGCCCTTTATTCTAAAGTCTTTGCCCCCAAATCCTATGTGCTGTGTGAGTGTCCACCCTGCCAGGCAAGTCCGGCTGGCATCTACCCCGCATCAGCCCGCACAGTGTCTCTGCCCCTTCTCCTACTGCCATGATCTGAAAGTGGGTGAGAGTTATTTCCTGGCCCTGCACAGGGGACCCAGGGTGCTGGAGGGCGGAGGTTATGTTCTGTCTTGTTTACTCTCTCCCAGGAATATGCAGTCACGCACTAACCGCGGCTTCAATTTGCCTCCTGGGGGTTTCCTGTAATCCCTCCCTCAGTTTGGGGAGTGCAGCCTTTCCTGCTGCCTCAGGAACCCTTCCGCTTTGCCCAGACCCTCCCTGTTACAACAGGATTTATCTGAAGGCCTTCCAGACAGAAATAAGATATACGTACAAGTTAAAATGTTTGCTGTGATTTTATATCTTCCCTTCACCTCAAGATACTCTTAATCCTTTGGCTGTTTTGATGGGCACCAGAAGTCCCCTGGCCCACCATCATTCCCCCACTGGCTCTAAGACCACAGTGCTCAGAGTCTTCCTGATTCTCACCCCTTAGCTTTCAGATATGGGTCTTCAAATGTTGTCTGGGGAAATCGAATATTATAATATTGTCATCTATGAAAGCCCTGTTTCAAATGGTCTTGTCTGACTAGATATGTGGGTCACCTAGCAGGTCTCATAGTGAATGAGCATGGCAAGGCTCCTTTTCATGGGAAGGGAGGTGTCAGGAGAGGTCAGGGAGGGACCACGGGGCAACTCAGAGGCCGTCCTACCACAAAGGAAAAGGAAATTCAATGGCAGGCCACCCTGGTGTCTGTTGTATGATCTGCCTTGACTTTATTTTGGAGAACAACCCTTTCCTCTTTGGGTGTGGTGGTCTTGTTGGGATTTCTGTTTACGTGTCCATTCAGGCAAGAGATAAGTGTACTAGTTACATCAGAACAGTCAGATGCTGTGTCTCGGGGATGAAATCCTGAGTAGAATAGCACAAAGGCCATGTACTTGCAGGGAATCCCTCTCAATGGTGATGCCCTAAAGAGATGGCACAATAGCTCCCAGGACTTAGGCTCCCTGAGCCGCCCCGGTATCTGGCCCTTTTGAGCCTGAGTCTCGAATCTCTTTTCCTGCCTTCCAATGATTTACTTCTCTTTCTTCTTTCCCTCTGCCTTAGGTTAGCTCCATTTGGTCCCTGTTGCTTGACACCAAGAATTTTAACACAAACACCACACAAAACTTGTTTAATGCCAGTTTAACCCGTTCCCCTCTGCAATAGCAGAGAAGTAGCTAAGATCCATTAATTACTATGTGCGGTATATCTAGACAGCATATATGTATATATATTATCTCTGTTTTTAAAAATGTATGAATACATTTGGCCTAATTCAGAAGAGAATGCAAATGAAGACCATGAGGAAATAGCACTTTTTTTTTTTACCTGTCACAGTGACAAAGGTCAGAGAGCCTGAGCTGTCCTGTGTGTGGAGATGTGTAAAACAGAGATTTTGATACCTGCCAGCACAGACCTCACGTAGGTTTATTGGCACATTTGCAAATATTGGCACATTTTATTTATTTATTTAAATATATTTTATTGATTATGCTATTACAGTTGTCTCATTTTTTCCCCCTTTATTCCCCCTCCCCGGCACTGCACACCCTCTCCCACCTGCATTTCCCCTCCATCTTAGTTGATGTCCATGGGTCACACATACAAGTTCTTTGGCTTCACCATTTCCTATACTATTCTTTTTTTTTTTTTTTTGAATTTTCAAGATGTTACTTTATTGGCCAAGTTTTACCTGCGCACCTGTCTATTTTCTACCTACAATTCATGCTACTTAATCCCTACACCTTTTCCCCCACACCCCACCTCCCTTTTCCCACTGATAACCCTCCAGGTGATCTCCATTTCTGTGATTCTGTTCCTGTTCTAGTTATTTGCTTAGTTTGTTTTTGCTTTCATTTTTTTCTTAGGTTTTGTTTTTGATAGTTGTGAGTTGTCATTTTACTGTTCATACTTTTGATCTTCTTAGATAAGTCCCTTTAACACTCATTTAAAAATGGCTTGGTGATGGTGAACTCTTTTAACTTGATTTTGTCTGGGAAGCACTTGATCTGCCCTTCCATGCTGGATAGAGTAATCTTGGATGTAGGTTTTTGCCTTTCTTGACTTCAAATACTTCTTTCCAGCCCCTTCTTGCCTGTAAGGTTCCTATTGAGAAATCAGCTGACAGTCTGATGGGAACTCCTTTGTAGATAACTGTCTCCTTTTCTCTGTCTGCTTTTTAGATTCTCTTTTTATCTTTAATCTTGGGTAATGTAATTATGATGTACCTTGGTACATCTTCTTTGGCACTTTCTGAGCTTCCTGGACTTCCCGGAAGTCTATTTCCTTTGCCAGATTGGGGAAGTTCTCCTTCATTGTGTTTTCAAATAAGTTTTCAATTTTTTGCTCTTCCTCTTCTCATTCTGGCACCTCTATGATTCAGATATTGGAATATTTAAAGTTGTCCTGTAGGTTCCTAAGCCTCTCCTCATTTTTTAAAAATTCTTGTTTCTTCATTCTGTTCTGGTTGCATGTTTATTTCTTCCTTCTGGTCCAAACTCTTGATTTGAGTCCCAGTTTCCTTTCTGTCACTGTTGGTTCCCTGTACATTTTTCTTTATTTCACTGTACATAGCCTTCACTTTTTCTCTATTTTGTGACCATACACAACCAATTCTGCGAGCAACCTGATTACCAGTGTTTTGAACTCTGCATTTGATAGGTTGGGTATCTTTTCATTGCTTAATTGTATTTTTTTCTGGAGCTTTGACCTGTTCTTTCATTTAGGCCATTTTTTTTTGTCTTGGCACACCTGTGATGTAGTAAGGGGTGGAACCTTACGTATTCACCAGGCAGGGCAACTGATGTTACTGTGTTGTGGTGCTGTATGTGGGAGAAGGGTCTGAGAGGGAACAATGTGGCCCACTCAGCAATCTGCTGCTTCCAATCTCCTCTCCTATTACCCACAAGCAGACTGGGCCCTTCTGGTGTTGATTCCTGGGTAGGTGGTTTGCATCCATTGTAGGACCCTGTGGGTCTCTCCAATAAACTCTCCTGTGAGGCTGGGAGTTTCTCCTGGCACTGCAACCCCCCACAGGTTTTTCCAGTCAGAGGTTTTGACCCTTTATTTCCCCACGCTGGAACCCTGGGTCGTGCAGTCTGTCTCACTCCCCAGTGTTCCTCCTGGCTTATCTGCATACAAATGTGGAACCACCTGGTCTTCCAGCCACCACCTCGCCCGGTCTGCCAGCCACCACCTTGCCACGGGGCCTTTCCACCCGGCTGCCTATCTCAGCCACTCCTATTGGTCTGGATGAATATTTCTTCTTTAACTCCTTGGTTGTCAGACTTCCATACAGTTCAATTTTCTGGCTGTTCTGGTTTATTTTTTTTGTTTTTAAATTTCTTGTTGTCCTTTTGGTTGCGAGGAGGCACAGTTTGTCTACCTATGCCTCCAACCTGACCAGAAGTCTGATACAAAATTGTAAATGCTCTTCTCTGACCCAGCAATTTTGCTTCTAGGAATTTATAGGTATATCATGTAATCAGATATTACACAGCCATTAGTAAGAATAAGGCCCATATACATTCTATGTGTAGTTACATTCTCTACTATATATTAAGTGAAGGGAAGCAGAATTATGCTAGTTGTGTCAAAAAGACATAGAAATATGAATAGAATCATTTTGCAAAGATTTATAAAACATGGGTGGGTGGTGATTGCCTCTGGAACAGGAATGGGGTGGCTGGGAATAGGGTTGGGGAGGAGGCAATTCCATCTGTATTATATTCTTGAATTGGGTGTTGCCTCAGCTTTGTTTTCATCATTATGCTAATGACAGGCAGGAGGGGTGGACCATTGAGGACTGGTTTCTACACAAACTCTGCCAGGAATTAAGTGGCCTGTGCAGTCTTCTTCAAACTATCTCTTGGACTATCTCATCAGCTTTCCAGATGCATTTTTAATATGTTGATGTGTCAAAATGAGCATATAAATGGGGAGTGAGCTTGGGAATATTTTTTGGTCTGTTATGCTGACCAAAAAATACCTTGGGTCTGACTTTTAATGGGGTTTTTGTTATTCCTTCGACTTTATCTGTCCTTGGGTTTAGCTGGCACCAAGGGCATTAATTGGGTCTCTGCTCTTTATTTTTCCAGACCAGTGAGATTTAAGCTATGTGTTCTTTGGTTAGGGTGAAGAGGTATAAACAGTTTGCTCTCCAGTGTCCTCCTTGGTCAGGGGAGAGATAAGGTCTTGTGATTCACCAGCTGACTATAAGCTGCTCGAACTGTTTGGCTTTGTTTATTTTTCTTGTTTCAATTCCTTCATTCCACTTGTCCAGAAATTTTCCTAGATTCTCACTGTCCTGTCTACTGTATATTTGAGTGACCAGTAGTGAATAAAGCAGGTAGTTTTTTGTTGTGTTTATTTTGATTTTTGATCCAGCTTGTAGACATTGCATGGAACTGACCTTCAGTCCTGTAGGCCTTATGCAACTTCCACCTCAGCGTCAGGTCAGCCCAGGGGAGAGTTTGCAAATAAGCTTTTTATTATCAACAGTCTTATCCTTGTACCAAGCCCACAAAGTTATGATAATGAGAACTCTAACTCTCTTGAACATCGCTGTGAAAAATCTTTCCTTCATATGTGTCAGAAAGTGCTGAGAAGTCTTTGCTGAGCAACGTGCAAGGGAAAAGAAACACAACTCTGGACCATCACTTGCTTTACTGAATGCAAAAATTCTTTTGAGTGGTTGAATAAGGTAAGAATGCCTATATTTTCTCGGAGAGGGAGGGATGGATCTTGAGTAATCCATTGCCTCAGAGCTCTTGATGAAACCCTAAATCTTCACACCATTTTCTTAGCTTTGGAAACCTAGTTTGTCACATTATTACTTTTTACTTTCACGGTCTTGAGAAATAGGGACCTCAGCATGGGAAAGATGTGACAAGTGGCTTGCTGTCGTCACATTAGGGGCTCATCATTGACCTTTCAGAATTCTGCTAGATTAACTGGGAACCATTAGGAAATGTATAATTCTTTAAAATGCAGTTATTGAGTTTAGCTCTCTAAGGTTCATTTGCCTTCTGAACAGGCATTTGCTTTAAAGTTTGAATTCAGATTTTAATCATTAATTAAAAATAAATAGTGATCATGGGTTCAAAAAGAATCGTCATGTGTTGGCAGTGATTCTGGCAACAAGATAAGATTGGTGAAACACCTGAGGTACATCACTGAACTCTAAGTAAGAGGTGGAAACTCTACTGTTAAATCCGGTGCTACTGTTGACTTGTACAAAAGGATAGTAGTGGTAATCAATCAACAGAGAAAATTTTAAAAAATATATTTAAAAAGCATGATTTTATACCACATCTGTTTATTACACAGACCCCTACCACACGGCTACATTTACATATACAATCTGACTGTAGGTCATCTGGAGTTGGGAGGTCCAGCTGTCAGTCACTAATTTTTTTAAATTGATGATTGACACCAGGACATGTTTTCATTGATTTTAGAGAGAGGAAGGGAGGGAGGAAGGAAGGGGGGTGGAAAGAGAGAGAGAGAAACATCAATGTGAGACAGAACGTTTTTAAAAATATATTTTATTGATTATGCTATTACAGTTGTCCTATTTCTACTCCCCTTCATTCCCCTCCACCCTGCACACTCCTCCCCCACCATTCCCCCACTTTCATTTATGTCCATGTATCACAAGTTCTTTAGATTCTATATTTCCCATACTATTCTTGCCCTCCCCCATCTACTTTCTATCTACCGTCTATGCTACTTATTTTCTGTACCTTCTTCCCCCTTCTCCTCCCCCCACTCCCCTGTTGCTAACCCTCCATGTGATCTCCATTTCTATGGTTCTGCTCCTGATCTAGCTGTCCTCTTAGTTTGCTTTTGTTTTAGGTGTGGTTGTTAATAACTGTGACTTTGCTGTCCTTCCACTGTTCATATTTTTATCTTCTTTTTCTTAGATAAGACTTTAACATTTCATATAATAAGGGCTTGGTGATGATGAACTCCTTGAATTTGACATTATCTGAGAAGCACTTTATCTGCCCTTCCATTCTAAATGAAAGCTTATCTGGATAGAGCAATCTTGGTTGTAGGTATTTGGATTTCATGACTTGGAATACCTCTTTCCAGCCCCTTCTTGCCTGTAAGGTCTCTTTTGAGAAATCCACTGACAGTCTGATGGGAGCTCCTTTGTAGGTGACTGTCCCCTTATCTCTTGCTGCTTCTAGAATTCTCTCCTTGATTTTAATCTTGGCTAATGTAATGATGATGTGCCTGGGCGTGTTCCTTCTTGGGTCCAACTTCTTTGGGACTCTCTGAGCTTCCTGGACTTCCTGGAAGTCTATTGTCTTTGCCAGATTGGGGAAGTTCTCCTTTATTATTTGTTCAAATAAGTGTTCCACTTGTGGCTCTTCCTCTTCCCCTTCTGGTTCCCCTATAATTCGGATGTTGGAACATTTAAAGATGTCCTGGAGGTTCCTAAGCCTCTCCTCATTTTTTTTTTTTTGAATTCTTGTTTCTTCATCCTTTCTGTTTGGTCATTTTTTTCTTCCTTCTGTTCCACTCCCTTGATTTGAGTCCCAGTTTCCTTTCCATCACTATTGGTTTCCTGTGTATTTCCCTTCATTGCAATTAGTTTAACCTTCATTTGTTCCTCTAATTTGTGACTAAAATCAACCAGTTCTGTGAGCATCCTGATCACCAGTGTTTTGAACTGTGCATCTGAAAGATTGGCTATTTCTTGGTGGTTTAGAATTATTGTCTCTGGGGCTTTGAGCTGTTCTTAAGGCATTATGTTTTGGTCTGTTAGCACCTGTTACATATGAGGGGCAGAGTCTTAGGTGTTCACCAGGGTTGGGTGACCCAGTTGCTGGTTTGTGATGCTGTATGTGGGGGGGGGGTCAGAGAGGGGCAATGGCATTTGTTCCACTCTCTCTCAGATTTCTGTCCCCTCTGCTGCTTCCTGCAAGTAAACCTGGCCCCCCTGGTGCTGGCTCCTGGGTGTGTGGGCCTGTGCACCCTCCAGAACCCTGTGGGTCTGTCCAACAAACTCTCCATGAGCCTGGGAGCCTCTCCTGGCACCTCAACCCCGAAAGTCTTTCCAATTGGTGCTTTCAGGCTCTAATTCCCATCGCTGGGACCTTAGGCTTAGTAGTCTGTCTCACTGCTTGCTCCTTCACTTGGGGTTTATCTATGCTCGAATGTGTGAACACAGTCAGCCAGGTGCCTTGCACCCTCACTGGGTCTTCCTGTTGCCACCCCACGCCTGGGATCCGCCAACCACCACCTGTGCTCCTACGCGCCTGGGTGGGTCCAGCTGATCTTTCCTGCCCTACCCCCGCTCTGCCACTGACTCCGCCCCTCTTACCTGTCTGGCTGAATGGTTCGTTGTTGTTGGACTTCCGTAGAGTTCAATTATTTTGTGTTTTAGCTGCATTTTTGTTACTAAAAATTTGTTGTCTTTAAACTTGGTTGTGCAAGGAGGCACAGTGTTTCCACCTACGGCTCCATCTTGGCTGGAAGTTTGAGACAGAAATTTTGATTGGTTGCCTCCCATACTTCTCCTGATATGATGATTGAACCCGTAACCCTGGCATATACGCTGATCAGGAATTGAACTTGCAAACAGGTGTATTAAAAAGTTCAGGTATATTGAACTTTTGATGTACAGGACAATGCTCCAATGAACTGAGCCACCTGGCCAGGGAAGTCATCCATTTTTAATTGCATTTTTTGTACAGAAGCTGCCGCAGCCAGTAGAAAGGCTTATAGAAACCAAAGCTTAGAGCATGAACTAGGTATACTGGTTTTGAAGTTTGTTACTGAAACAATAGCTAATGAGTAGTAAACCTCTTGGATCATCACAGTTTCAGAAGCATATCTTAGATGTGCTTCCTGACTTCAGGAAGCTGTCAGTGAAACTTGGGACCAAGATACAGAACTAATGTGTATCTAAATTTTAAATACAGAACCTAAATTTGAAGTTGTTGCTGGTGCTGGTGTTGAAGGAGATGATGGTGGTGCTAGATGGATGGGGAAAGCCTACCAATAACTAGGAAATTTGGGAAGATGTCCCTGTTTCTTCATCCGCCCCAGTTCAGTCCGCTCCCAGTTCAGAAGTATTTGCTGGTAGACTGATTTTTAACCTCTGGTCCAGGAGTTGCAAAATAAAATGATTACAAAGACCAGGCATTGACTTAGATGGACAAGACCCACTGGGTAGGACTATGGTACATTGGAGAAGGCCTGCCCCATCTAAAGAGAACAGCACCTACTAAGTTTTGAAACTCTTGGCACATGGAAATGCTTGCTCAGTGTTGCCATATTTTATGAAGTATTTTGAAAGAAAATTTGAAGTTTCAGATTCGTAAATGTGTACTCTATAAAAAAAGTATAAGATATTTATTTTTTTGTCAACTAAGTCAAATTGAAGCAAAAAAGTGTCTGGGCAATATTAAACACAACTGTTTGTTGCCAATTTACAACTCTTGGGGTAGCAACATCTTAGCCATGTAATACCATTTGTGGGGGGCAAGTCTGGGGATTCCAATCCCATCACATTGCTCAGACTTCCTAAAGCAGGGGTTAATAAAGTGGGTTCTCAAGTCTCCACCTGTGATTGCTATAATCCTTTAATAGCATCTCACATAAACTTCCTTTAAGGACCATGAGGAGCACAGAATCTTCGCCATTATGTAGCCCAGTGATGAACGTCAAGATTTTGAACACAGTGCATTCTGTGTAACAAATTATTATTGTATTATCTCCTCTTATTTTTATATGAACTCTATGAGATAGGTGCTAAAATCATCATCATCGCATTCCTATTTGTGGATGGAGAAATTGAGGCTCATTGAGATTTCCCAAGTTCTGTTGCGGTAAGTGGCAGAAGTGAGATTTAAATTCTGGAGTCAGACTTCAGAATCCAATATTTAACTACCACAATATAGTTTTTCTTGTTATATTGTATGAATTCTTAGCTTCTATACTCCCTCTGAGTAATGATGAATTCTCCTCCTAACATATCCTAAATATTTGCAAGTACATTTTCTGCTTTTGTAGAGTACAGGGGCATTTTTATTTTTATCCTCATCCTTTGCTACAGGGTTTGCAAAATGTGTGCGATCTTTCTTATCACCAAAGAGGGAAATTTTATTAACTCCTGTCTTGAGACAGAGATGCCAAAACCCGCCCCCACCTTTTATGCCATTTTCTTATCAGGTAGTATTTAAAGTTAAAACATGGAGTTTAAATGCTAAAGGTATGGATTTCACCTCCATGTGGACAAGATAATTTTACTTATATTTAGTGACAGAGTAAAGCCATCCCCTTAGCAAGCCTTCTCACCTTCTCACAACTACAAACAGTGTGGGTGGATCAGTCATCACCAGTGACAGAAGTGCTGCAACCTAGACCCATGTACAGACCTATAAATAACATCATCACCATAAATGAAAGCAGTAATGATGTAGCCAACAGATGCAAATAGATTTTTGCTTAGTCGCCAATGTCAAATGATGAATAGTGGATGCCAGGATGAGCACTGTGCTGATAAGGATTTGGAAACCCCTTGTGAACCAATCAAAGAGTTCTGTCATTGACTGGTCTTGTCTGCAATGGGCTTGGGATGTGGAACTAGTGGTGAGTATGCTCTTGTACTTGCTGGTATAGACTATACCTGAAAGAGCTACAGTACCCTGGGCAGCTCGAAGCAAATACATTTTAATTTTTGATTCTGTCTTTTACTGTCTCTTCTATCTCTGTTTTTCCACAGGAAAAATGGCCAAATGTACCTTCTCCATATTAGAGACATTCCTGATTTTCCTCCTTGTAATGATGACTGCAGTCACAGTGGCCCTTCTCACCCTCTTGTTTATCACGAGTGGGACCATTGAAAATCACAAAGGCAAGTATGATGGGCTCTCTTGGATGCTGTGCCTCAGCCTGCAACAAATTCCTTGATCACTGGGGACACTGAGACAAGAAATAGTGTCTACTGATAATGCTGATGACAGGACTGTTCAATATGTATTTACGATGCCTGGCGTAGCCACCTAACCTTTACCTTACATTGCTCTTTCTGCACTGATAGCAATTTTTATCAAGTTTACCTTTGTTCCAACAGCATCTGGTATGTAGTTATTTGTCTTCTATTTTTGCACTGATCTAGGCACAGATCAGAATTCTTCAAGGCCCAGTGATGTGAGCTTTTGCCTTAATCCTCTTCTCTTACCCTTTGCCTCTTTTTGTCACCAACTTTTCCTGGGGGCAAAAGATGAATGAAAGATCCATTGAGTATCAGTGAGTCTTTACAAAGCCTTAAAGAAGGGGGTCCTAAATTCAAATCCTTGGGAGGACCAATTAAGCTCTACAAATGAGATCCAGTGGGGAGGTGGACCAGGATGGGGGCAGCTGTGATTTGGGTGAAGAGGGTCCATAGATGCCCCCTGAGTGCCAACGGTTTGCTGTTATAATAAACATGAACTCAGTTCTCCTGTGTTTTCAAGAGAAGCTAGACATTGGAATGTTTAGACACCTTTTTTTTTTTTAGTGTTAAAAATGAATTTAGTTTTTGAAAACTATAGGCTATATTTACAGGCAACAATGGGCTAAAGGTTTTTGATGAAGCCCCTACTTCAGTGTTAGGTTATATTATACCTGTTAAATGAGTAGAAAAACAGTGGGGATTGTGTACTTTGGCCAAAGTAAAAGGAGGGCTGGACTCAGACCCAGTGGAGAAGAAGATGGCATGTTTGCACCTCAGTTTTCTCTTCTGTGGCTTTCTCTCTTTTCCAGTGTTTTTTCTACCATGTCCTGTGCTTTGAATTCCCTGCAAACACAGAGGACCAGAGATCCTCTGTGCCAGCTGTGGGCAGAGCAGGGTCTTGGACTGCTAGAAATGAAAGGATCTGTAGGGCTTATCTAGTTTTAGCTCTTAAAATGAGGCTCAGGTTGGTTATCAATAATTACACTAACTATCATCACAGTAGAAGTTGCTGTTCATTGAAAGGTTACTTTTTTGGCAAAAGCTCACATGAAGGCAGATCCTAGTCTTCATACCATTTTACAGAGTTGGAAGGTGGACTTTGAGATCACAAAGACCTTGTCTTAGGCTGTGTAAATTTTGCCTTGGTTGGCACCACATTCCTACATTGGTATCAATAAAGCAAATAGCAAAGGTTCCTGCTTCCTTTCTTCCAATACTTGATGTCTTGCAGAGAATGTCGGCTCGGGGAGAAGACACAGTTTCTAACTCCATCCGGAATGTGGCTGAAATCGCATCAGATTCTGAGCTGGAGGATCTGGTTTGGGCACCTGATTAATTATATGCTCTCCATGAAATCTTGGTTAAGCTCTGGGGTTTAGTATTCTAGCATGTAAAACTGAAGAGAGTGGACAAAGTGATCTCTTAATTTTTTTTGAGCTCTAAAACTCTAGGATCCCATAGTAAATTAGCTGTTAATTTCTTGCCTCAGTACTTCCTGACCACTAATGCCCTGAGACACTGATATCTGCCTCCTTGGCCACCTCTGGCTGTTGCCTGGGCTAAAAACGAGAAAACAAGCAAGGTGGATATGTAAGACGTCTAAATACATGAATAAAACCAGAGCTGTAAGGCAGCCTACATTGTTCTACATTTTTAATATGCATTAACATATTTATTGTTCAAAACAACCCTAGAAAGTAGAGTATTGTTATTATCTCTATTTTATAGATGAGAAAATTGAGGTGCAATAGTCTAAGTAACTTGTTCAGCTAGTAATTGGTAAAGTCAGTTCTATTTTTTTTAATTTTTAATTTATTTTTCAGTGTGTGGTTGCCTCTCATGTACCCCCCACTGGCATGAATAACAACCCAGGCATATGCCCTGACTGGGAATTGAAGCAACGACCCTTTGATTCACAGGATAGTGCTCAATTCAATAAGCCACACCAGCCAGGGCTGTAAAGTCAGCTTTAAAACTGGATGTTTGTTTCTGGCACCTGCCCACTTCATCTCTATACCATATTTGCATGCATACGGAATATATATATATATATATGTATATATATATATATGAATATATATACACACAAACAATATGTATATTTGTATACATGTATATTTATATATGTACACACATACATATAAAGAATACAGTATGTATATATGAGAATCACCATATATGTATATATATTTACATGTAAGGTAGAACTATGTCAACAAGTGCATCATGATCTAGGTTGCATTCAGAATAAGTCTTTAAGAAAAAGAATAAAACTCTTGAGAAGGGTAGAGACAGTTGGAGTGGCATCTTGGAGATGAGGAGTTGAGCTGGATGTGGGTGTAATAGAAATGAACCGACTCTGATGGGGGTAGTGAAGATTGGCTGGTGGAGTAGGAAAGAATAAGTGCTCTGGATGGAGAGAATGGTAGAAATGAATCCCTAGAGGCTGGGTTTAGTGGGTTGCATGCCATGAACCTGGCACCTGATTTGTTTGGTTGGTGCAGAAGTGCACGGTGAGTGAAGAAGGATGATTTGACAAGAAATGGCTTGAGAGAAGCTGAAGGACATTTGATGGGTGTCTTGATTGTGTGGTTAAAAAAGTCATCCTTAGGATTAATATAAGACAGATTCCTGAGATGTTTTCTACCATGTACCTTACACCTAAAAGAGTATACAAGGACTTTTCCTTAGCAACATGAACCTAAGTGTCCTAATTGATGCTGACAGATAAGTGGACTGAATGGTTGTTTCTCAAATGTGTTACTCTGTTTTTAGATTCAGGTTTTCCAACCACTGAGAGTCCTCAGGTCAGCCAGAGCACACAGGCCACCCAGGACTCCACAGTCCCTCAAGGCTCAACACTCACACCAACCCCAACAGCCACCCAGGGGTCCCCAGTGACTACTACCCCAGAGCCTTCTCCATTTCAGAACTTCAGTGGCTACCATATTGGTGTTGGGCGAGCTGACTGCACAGGACAAGTAGCAGATATCAATCTGGTAGGTAATCAAGGGCTCCTCAAAGAGACTGTGAAATAATGATTTTATTATTTTGAATCCTACATTTATTTCTGATTATTATAGCATCATCTTCTTGCTTTTCTATTAACTTCACTGATATGTAACATTATGAACATTGTCCTATAAGAAAGAGGGGGTCATTTATTTAACTACAGCTCCCTTGCAAAGACGGTTGGCCATTTTTTATGAATTGGCAGGGCTGGGAAACTCAAATACTACAGAGGATGAGCAGGTACCATAAATGACTGAAGCAGGCCAGTGGAAGATGATAAATATCTAGTGATCCTCAGTTTGAGTGCAGGAGGAAATTGTGGGGATTGTGGTGCAACGAGAAAGTACGTGGCTCTGGCTGACTGTTGCTCTGTAAGAAAGTAGACTCAGGGTTGCTATATCTGACAATTTTTTTTATGAGAAGCCAGATAACCTCTAGATTGAAGACTTAAGGATTTGAATCTCTCAACTAGAAAATGTAGGCAACTCTTGTTAGTTGAAACTGGAGACCTAGCTTGGGCCAGTACTGGAGATGTCAAGGAAAACCCTCCAGTGTGTTAGTCCTGTCCTGTTGGCTGCTAACATGCATCTTCCTGACTACAGTCGTGGTAATATCGTTTATATCAGTGCTTCCCTAGGAAACTAGAGCAGCAGGTTGTCTGACGAGATTGTCTCCCTCCTACCAAATGATCTTTAGAGTCAAGGAATTACAGCTGACCCTTGAACAATGTGGGGGTTAGGGTGCCAACCCTCATGCAGTCGAACATTCATGTGTAACTTTTAACTCCCCCAAAATTTAACTATAATTGGCCCTTGGCATTGACAGATTCAACGGACTGTAGACCAAAATCAGTATTTTTGACCCATGGTTGGGAATGTAAAAAATATCGTTTTTGGTAGTTGGTTGAGTACATGCACATGAAACCCATGGATATGAAGGGTCAGCTGTATTTATTGAAAGCACTCATGCATAAGTGGACATGCACCATTTAAACCCGTGTTGTTCAAGGGTCAGCTCTATTCCCTGCTGTCTGTTCTGAAAACTGTCTCTGGAATGTAATCCTAAATAAGCATGCACATGAGGGTAAAGCAAGCAGTAGAGGGAGCATTCTGAAGGCCTGGGTATACTTTAAGGATGGGTTTTATGATGTAATAGAAGGGGCTAGGATAGGTGTATTTGAACTGACTTGGCTTAGGGAGGGATAACATGGGAAAAGGCAGGGTTAGGTACACTCACTAAAGAGTACTTAATCATAAAGAAACCATTTTCTTCAGGTAAAAACCAAAAACCAAAATAAAACCACAGACCAAAACACACACACACACATGAACAATCCAAGTGACCACAGGGAAAGAGCATTCAATTTCAGGATATTCCTGGGCAATGTATGGTGGGAGGGGAGCTATTTCCTTGTGTAGTACTTTAGACAGGAAAGAGAAAAGGTTTTGTTTCAAACACCAGAGAAGCCTCGAAAGATCTCCAGTGCAGTTAACAAAATTCTGAGCCATGCCAGTTCCTTCTTTGCCCATGGAGCAATGAATAGCTCTGTCAAGCTTATCACTACTTTGCCTTTATACTTTTCTACACAGAAGAATAAATCCTCTTCTATGATGTTGCCTTTATTCTTGAAAACACACTTTATTATCTCACTCAGAGTTTTCAGTGTCGCGTGCATTGTCTTTCTTTGTCCTTCTTTGGTGGTGGTAGTCTTTTCCCTCAAGGGAGAGCCTGATTTCTGGTAGCGGTGGAGGGCAGGGGGTTGTGCAGGGCGGAGTGGCTCTGATTCTCTCTCCGTCTGCAGATGGGCTACGGCAAAAGCGGCCAGACTGCGCGGGGCCTCCTCACCAGGTTGTACAGCCGTGCTTTCGTCATGGCAGAACCCGACGGGTCAAATCGAATGGCGTTCATCAGCATCGACATAGGCATGGTGTCCCAACGAATGAGGCTGGAGGTAAGTGATTAATGTGAGCATGCAATGACATGATTTTAAAGAAAAGTCTCTGGGCAATTGTGAGAGTAGCTAATCCTTCCTAGTTTTTCATCCAGTAAGTTCCTACTACCCACAACATTATAAGCTCTTACCTGTCCTTACTCTGGACTGATAAGAGCTTATAATGTTGTGGATGAGCTTACAGTGGGGGAGGAGAATGATCCTCATTTTTCCATCCCAAATCAGCCTGCTCAAAATACACTTCCAACTCCAGTGACAGTACCTCATCAGTATTAATGCTAATGTTTTGTTTTTTTGAGAGCTTATTATGTTCCAGGGGACCTTCACATACATTCTCTCATTTAATCTTCTTTGTAGAAATCTGAGATTGTCAATTAATCAGTAACTCTTCCCTGAAGTTTTCAGACAACTGACAATAGATATGTGACCAGAGGAGAATTACAAATATAACACTGAAATGAGGTTGGCCATAAACTGCTGAAGCTTGGTGATAGGCAGACCTGGGGGGTTCACAGTACCTGGATACTATGAATGTTTGGTGTGGAAAGGTGAATGGATAAGAGAGACTATAGTTAGACTTGGATTGGGATTCAAGCTGTGCTATTTATTACATCAGTTGGAAAATTATTTAACTTCGTTACGTTTCAGTGTTACTAGCTGAAAGGCAAGGTTAAAAATACATCCTTGAACGTATTGTAATGACTTTTAGATGACATAACGTATGTAATACCTAGCATTGTTTGTATCTGCACATAGCAAGACTCTATAAAATGTTAGCTATTGCAATTGTTGTTACTATGATGATATGCTGAAGCTATACAAACTATATAAGCTACCCTGTTTTGCTGTGTATGATGTACTCCCATGTTTTGGGCCCAAACTTTCAGGAAAAAAAATCTTTAGTTTTAATTTTTTAATTCAGTCATTTATTTATTTATACTTAGATACTTTTTGTATTATAAAGGAATTTAAGCATTTATTTTTGAACATATGGTGTAAGAAATTTTATGTAACAAATAATTACAAAACACAGGAACAGATAGAAGGTACATGAAAGCTTGCATACTGGTAACAAATTTACGATACTCACGCATCATTAGTACAACCCATGTATAATGCATATCCTTCTTTTTCTCTCAGAAATTTGGGCAAAAAATTGCATGTTATACACAGCAAAGTGTGGTATATGTATGTAGAGATACTGTGATGCAATAGAGAGTGAAGGGCCACTTGGCAAGGAAGTCATTGGTTCGGGTCAGTGGTGACGCTCATTAGAGCCTTTTCTTGTGCTAAGCTCCTATGTTCTTTCGCCTCTTTTTTTTCTTTCTTTCTTTCTTGAAGGTCTTGAAGAGACTGCAGCAGAAATATGGCTCCCTGTACAGAAGAGACAATGTTATCCTGAGTGGCACGCACACACACTCGGCCCCAGCAGGGTATTTCCAGTATACCGTGTTCGTAATTGCCAGTGAAGGCTTTAGCAATCGAACGTTTGAGTACATGGTCACTGGCATCCTGAAGGTAGGCAGAGAACCCCAGACAGCGATAGCTGTTCCTTCCCCGTGTGCACAGTGTTTTAGGAGTGTGCTATGGGGACAGTCCCTCTAGGATTTCGGTCTGAATGCAGTCTTAGCACCTACCACTCTACCTGCTTCCTGGCTCCTTGTAGCTTCTGGTCCGGAGCTGTGGGCTGTTAAGCCTGAGGCATTGGTTGATTATGGAGCATGGTTCTATGGCGGTAAGCCTCATGCAGTTGTCTAAAGAGACAGAATGTTTTGTATGTGACTGTTACACATTACAGGGCCCCACATGGCCTGTTCTTGCACAGAGTCACACAAAAAGATGCCAACCCATCAAGGCACCAAAAGTAATTACAAATAATCCCAATCTTTCCCTGTACTTCCAAATATTTCCTTGTATTTTCTAAAGAATATAAAAGAGGACTAATTTATCAATTCCCCATTTCTTAAGTTCTCTACAGCAGTTTTAGACTGACAAGGTACTTCTACGAGTTCCCCCAGACTTTTTTCCCCGTTTGTGGTTTTGGTGCCTAATTTTTATTTCTCTCTCTCCTGTCTTCCAGTTTAATATTTCCTTGCATAGGATTCTTGCTAATGTTTTCTTCTTCATTCCTTTGCCTTTCAGGTTTAGTCTCTCTCTACTTTATCGTCTAAAGTTGCCACCACCCACCCACCCCAAATCCAAAGATCCAGTTGGCAAAGGCTGAAACTTCTTTGCAATATGTTTCCAAACTGTGGCTAGTAATCTATAAATGGCTTTATGAGGTCAATTTCATGGGTTGCAAGAAGCATAAAAAAACAAAATGAAAAAAAATTGGATAGCATCATAGCGCATAAAACACATTGTGAGCTTTATTTTAGGGTATGTATGTTGATGTGTATTAAGGTTGGATAGAAATTGTGCAGCTTACTGTGCATCTGAAAGTTTGAAAAATTCTGCCTTAAAGAGTGTGGGATGGAGAGAGTAGGGAGGGTGGAAATACCTACACGGTAACACATCCTGTCCAGGGTTATAGGAGCCCAGTCTCCCACTTGGGCCATCTGAATGGCAGATTGTGCCTGACTCAGCTGTCAGGGGCTGATCTGCTCTGTGCTTCTCTGCAAAGAGCACTTTTTCTGTCTCAGACCTGAAGGCCATGTGACACCTCCAGAATGACACCAGCCGTGTGGTGTGGTTCTCCAGCTTTTGTCCTGTAGCAGGAACAGGTTGGAGGCCATGGAAATTGTCCACAGGTTTCTTCTGCTTGTATTGACTAAGTCGTTATCCCCAACAGGATTTCCAACAATATAGCTCTCTCTCTCTCTCTCTTTTTTTAACCCACAGAGCATTGAGATAGCACACACCAATATGAAACCAGGGAAAATCTTTATCAATAAAGGAAACGTGGATGGTACACAGATCAACCGAAGCCCTTACTCCTACCTTCAGAACCCACTGTCAGAGCGAGTAAGGTGAGGAGGGTAATTATCGAAATGAAGTCCTGTGTTTCTTTTAGGGAACAGCAGCAAAATCTGAGAACAGGGTTGTTACTTGATGTACATAATGGGATCCTAAAAGAGTATTAAAGACAAATAGTTTAAAAGCATGTTTATAATCTAAGAGAAGCAGAAATAAAAAGTGAAAGTAGAAACACACAGCAACCTACACATGGACCTCCCCAGTCGGAGGGCTGTGGGAGTTGGTGTGGGTACTTGAAGGACTGGAGGCTTTGGAGTCTGACAGAGCTGTGGGCTCACCTGAGCTTGTCACTCCCTAGCTGGGTGATCTTTGGGATATATATGGTGATGATGATACATGATTTATTTGTCTTAATTTATTGGCTCTCCATTTCTTTATCTGTAAGATGGAAATTAAAATGTGCATAACAAGTATTCAGTAATGAGGAACTCACATTAATTCATCTTAGTCCAAGAGAATGTGGCAAGAGAGAGGAGATAAATGAATTAAAAAACTGGAAGAACGAGAAAGAAAATTAGAATAATTGAGAATAATTGAATGGAACACCTAAGGAAGATAATTATTTTGTCTTTTTTTTTAAGTAAGGAGCCAGGATTGCAACAGGAGAGGCTACCACAGAAGTGTAAAATAATTATTTTGTCTTTTTTTTTAAGTAAGGAGCCAGGATTGCAACAGGAGAGGCTACCACGAACTTCTCAGTTCCACCTGGCCACTTTGGCATTTTACATTTGTCTGCATATTTTTCAACAGCTTTCAAAAGAGTTGATTTTTTTAAAAGAAAATATGATGAACATTATATTTTCAAGGACATATCATATCCTTGAAAGGACATGAAAGAACATTTTAAGTCACATGTAATGAATGCTTTGGTTTTGCATACTTCCTGCTATTTTTAAGCAAGTCCACTAAAATTTGATACAAGTAGAAATTTCAGAGAGAAATCCTTTTCGTAAGAAACCCATATGTATAATATTGCATATATTACATACGAATGTATATTTCATCTCCAGCTAGCCAGTCTAACACCCCTAACCCTGATCACCATTGCAGACCATTTCTTTAGCGAGGGATGAGGTCGTGGGTGCAGCGCATGGGACTGCAGCGTGGACTCAGGGTGCTGCCCTCACAGAGACGCATGTTAGTTTTTGTTTCTGGGTCAGCTTCTGCTGTTTGCATGCGTGGTGCCCAGGCTCTAACATAAAACTGACTCAATTCCTTTGTTTTGGTGTCTAGATATTCTTCGAATACGGACAAGGAGATGGTAGTCTTGAAAATGGTAGATTTGAATGGAAATGATCTGGGCCTTCTCAGGTACTCTGTTTACTTTTATTTTTTTTTAAATTCTATCTGAATAACTTCTTTTAGTTACAAGGGTGAAGGTGGAGAAGAGGTTACAATAGTGGGCATAGAGGATGAGAACAAGCTGACAGTGATTTTCAACATTTTTTTTATATTACAGCACAGATAAACTACCAAAATTCTGTGCTCAAAAAATATGTTTTTGCAGGTCTGGAAAAAAATAGGTATAATTTTGATTCATTCACACTGGATGGCTCCTGTTGTGTGGGTATTGTCAGTTTTTTTATTTTCTAATCTAAGGGAAAAGAACTCAGAAGCCCCTGACTAGTCAGGTATTGCAAGTTTTTAAAAAATCGTGCAGCACACTAGTTGCAGATCTCTGAGTTGAGCGGTGAAGAGTCCAGACCCAGGAATCAGACACATCTGTGGTCCAGCCGTGGGCTCTGTGGCAAGGCTCTCTGCCTCTCGGGCTTGGCTGTTCAGCTGTAAAACAGGGTTAATGAAAGGATTATATAAATGAGGGATCTGGGTGAAGAAGTTCAGCACAACATCTGGCATGTGATATAAAGACAGTAAATGTTAGTGCTCATGACTATATCAAGATTTTATATGTGGAACTTCCATGATGGTAGATAATTATCTCTCAGTAAAACAAAAAACAATTGGACCAGTGGGGCAAATGAATATGGAATCAAGATTATTCACCCATGATTTCCTCAAAGGAGCAAGTGAAGCCTAATGTAGGACAATGCTCCTTAGTGATGAAAGCAGAACTGAGGCCACCTAAAGGGGGCAGAAGACATAAGATTACAACTTGGCACTGACTCCAGCACCTTTTTATAAACAAGACAATATGAGGATTCTTTTCTGTGAAAAAAGGAGGCATTCACACTTACAGGTTATTTTGGTCACTGACATTGGACTGGCTAAGGGCGACTGACAGTGACGGACACCTTGATGCGCAGACTTCCGAGTGATGCAGAAGTGCCCTGAGAAAGTGTATGTTAGCACTTGGGTACCGGAGTCAAATGTCTTGGGTTCGCTCTGGGCTCTCATCCTTCTTAGCTCTGTTACTTAGGCCATGTAACAGCTCTCTGTCTCAGTTTTCTTATCTTTAAAATTGGGGGTTAAAGAGACTCCTTAAAATCATTGATAATAAGTGTTAGTAAAGGTGGTGAGGTTCTGCCAGGTAAAATAATGAAATGTTTAAGTGAAAATTGCTATGTGAGTAAAATGGACAACAAATTAAAAGTAATAAGTGGTAAAGATAAACAATAAACTCTATGACTCAGTTCAGATACCAGGGTTGTCTCTGTTACTAGGAAGAGAACAGCGGAGTGGTAAGAAGTTCAGGTTTCAGGTATTGATTTTTTTTTCTTTTTTTTAAATTTAATTATTGTTCAAGTACAGTTTTCTGTGTTTTACTCCCATCCCAGCCCACCTCCCCAGTGCTCCCCACCTCCCTCTGGTTTCCACCCCCCTTAGTTGTTGTCCATGTGTCCTTTATACTAGTTCCTGTAAATCCCTCCCCTTTTCCCCTGAAATTCCCTCCCCTCTGGTCACTGTCCGCCTGTTCTCTATTGCAGTGTCTTTGGTTATATTTTGCTTGCTTGTTTGTTTTGTTGTTTAGCTTCCTGTTAAAGGTGAGATCAGGTATTGGTTTTAAGACTTGGTCAATCCTAGCCCTGCCACTTATTAACCCTGAGGCCTCAGGAAAGTAACTCATTTACTTATACCTCAAACATTCTATTCGAAAATGGGGATAATAACTCATAGGACTTGTTTGAAGATTAAATGAGATAATTCATGCAAAGCTCTCGTTTTGTGCCTGACATAGAAAAAAAAGGTTAATCATTTTAGCTAAGAGGTAAGAGATAGAATAATATTCTACCTCTTCTAAAAACTCCATTATTGGCGTATCTGAGTGCTTGAATTCATAGCATTGGAGTTACTTCTTTGGGTTTAAAGTGAGGACACTAAAAACTCCCTGATAAAATAAACTTTATTATATGGGTTGACATAATGGGACTCTTTGTTTCATTACTATAAATTCATCTACTAATGTTGCTACTTAACATTTAACTCAACAGACTTTCTAAATGTCAGCTACGCAGCTTTGTGGGGGAGGATTGTTATGCTAAGTATGTCATGGCCTGTCTTCAAGGGTCTCAGAGTTGGGTAACTGGGACAGGAAGCTCAAATAACCTGCCATTGTTTCTATAACTGTATGTTATCCTTGATGTAATTGTTCCTTCAGTTGCCTCTTGTATAGTGAAAATTGCTCTTTATACACATTAAAACTGAGCCAAAACAAAGTCAGCCACCACTTGTAGGAGTCTGCTGTTAGGATCCAAAGCCTGAGCAATTCGGAAACACAGAATCCTGGATTTGCAGAGCACAGAGATAATCTAGTTGAAATTTTAGCTAAGGCCTAAAACTAGGTGAGGTGACCTGTCCCATGTCACAGCCAAGAGAATTTTCTTCACACAGAAAGTGATATTGAAGTTCATAATTTATTCCTTCCCACTTTGATTTTCTTTCCATGTCTTCGTGCAACAAGTCTGCACCAGGCACCTATCAATAATTCTATGTGCCATGTAACCCTTCCCAGTCCCTGGAGTGACGTACTTCCTGGCCTTGAAATCAGAAACCAAATACCTTGGAATCACCTTGGAATCAAACACCTGTATTCTGTGCTCGAGAAAATACCTTAAACTCTATGAGACTCAGTTTCTGCATTTATCAAATGTAAATTTAACATCTCTTCTCTACACAGAGATTATTCATTTATTCATCCATTCGATATCGTGGAATACATGTGTCATGAACTGAGCAGAAAATAGATGTAGTTGCTACCTTGATAGAACTCACAGTCTACTGGTAGAGATGAAGGGTATTCAAAGAGTCACACAAATCCATGCATAATTATAATTGGATTCACTACTAAGGGAGGAAGGCCTGTACAGTTATCTTAAGGAGATTTGACCAGGTCCTGCCGACTGGAAATGCTTCTCTGAGGAACTGGCAACGCAGCTGCGTAGGAATTAACTGGTGAAATGGAAGGTAGAAAAGAAATTAAAAAAAACATTATTTATTTATTTATTTTTAGAGAGAGGGTAAGGGAAGGAGAAAGAGTGGGAGAGAAACATCAATGTATGGTTGCCTCTCATGTGTCCCCCACTGGGGGCCTGGCCTGCAATCCAGGCATGTGCCCTGACTGGGAATCAAACCAGTGACCCTTTGTTTCACAGGCCCATGCTCAATCCACTGAGCTACACCAGCCAGGCCAGAAAAAGAACTGTTACTGATGTGTAAAGGTCCTGTGGCCCATTTGAGGAACCGATCAAGGTTCCGAATGGCTTAAGTGCAAAAGGCATTGTGAGATAAAGTCAGAGGTAGAAATTAGATACCATGGTAAAGATGTTGGTCTTTATAACCAAGGGGAATGTAAAATCATTAAAGTGTTTTCAGCTGGGGTTGGGAGTAGAGGGCTCCTTAAGGGTTAGGAAGAGTGAAAGCGACTTGAGGAATGAAGTAGAACATGCGCATGAAACTATCTCATAGACCATTAAATCCTCTACAAATGTGAGGCCACTATTTGCTCCACTGGATCTAATGGAAATCTTATGCTTTTTCCTGATACTTTCTTATGCAGAGACAGTAAATGGTTGTTCTCCAAATGTTCGAAATATTTTGAATTCTGAGTCAAAGTGTAAACCGTGTGGCACTTACAAAATCCCCTTTGAGAGACTCTCAAAGGCACCTTAATTAAAGAATGAGTTTGTCATCTGGTGGAGGAGACTTAAGAGGGGATGATGTAGTAAAACAACTTGTATATGAAGAGACTATGAGAAGACAAAGGTTTCAAATGTCTGCATCAGAGGGGAATGTCATAAGGGCAGGTGATCTGAGTGGCAGCTCTGATTGGTGGAGGGCCACTTCTCAAGCAGGCGCCCCCATGGTGCTGGCGGCTCTGGCAGGGCTTATTCCCTCAAGCACCGTGCAATGGACAGGCTTTGTCTCGCTTCTCTTTCCTTCTTTTGCTTCTTTGCTTCTGCAAAGTTTTCTTCCTTGAGTTTGCAGGAGAGGCATGGACTCTTCTGGTTTTTTTTCTTTCTTTTTTTTGTGCTCTGTCAGCCTGCTGGCAGCTGCTGCGACATGACTTCTGTGTGTCAGAGCTGTAAGAAAGGTATGAGCAGGTGTTTGACTAATTGCTCCATTGCCTTCTGTTTTCTATAGTGAAAATCCTTTCATTCTTACAGAAAGGCTCAGGAAGGCAGCTCTTTAAAGGCAGATTTAAAAAAAAATGAGAGGGACAGTGATTTGTTTAAGCTACTTCAATAATTTGCGTGTACACTTAGAAACATTCAATTTATGAAGTTACACTAATTTATTTGAATGATATTGGCTTATGGAACTTAGACGCGGTGTGAGCATGTGTGTGTAAATCTCTACCATCCTAGACTATGACTTCTTGTTATGTCACACTGTCTGTTCCCTGTGGCTCTCTATTCTACTGTCTTCATTCTCCTTAACCCACTCGGATAATCAATGGGGAAACCTCAGCGACTGCCTTTCGCTAACTGTTCTTAACCTCTTCTCTCTTCTCCATCTCACCTTGCCTATACCTTCTGCCTTAGCATTAACTGGTTTGAGAAGCCCTGGTCTCTATTCATATCTGTCCCTGAGTTTCTCTTTCCCATTCTGCCCCTTGTATGTTGCTGTGAGGTTTGTTGCTATCTTCCTGCTCTACCTTTCCTATCAACTCTCTGTTCTCTCCAGGGGAGCCTAGGTCTGAGTCGTGCAGTGAGCTTTCATCCTGTGTCTGATCTATGGTCCCACAAAGCGAAGGTGCTTAGTAAGGGCTCATTGGTAACAAGTGATGATAGCAGGCTGATAACAGGTGAATCATGCTTGTTAATTTAATTTGCCCCACCTGTAGAAACTAGAGCCATAAAACTCAGTTATGATAACTGGCAGAAGACATTGGACTGACTTGATTGTTGGGTACT